ATTTTAAATGTTAATTATTGTAATATTTTAATATTTAATAAGAATTATTGTGATTAGACGGACAAGATTTAATATATACTTATATAGTTAAGTCAGTTATTCATTTGTTTAATCTTCCATTTATTCTACATGTCCTCTCAATATATAGTTTTAGACAAACGTAAATAATATTAGAGAATTAAAATCATGACCAGTAGGTTGCAAAGTGTTGTACACAAAACGGTAGCTGTTTTCAAAAGCCAACAGCTTGGCTTTGACGACACCTCGGGACAGAAAAGTCAAACGTATCTTTTCTCTATCCTCGATGTGATAGAGGCGAAACGAAAGAGAGAAACTGTGTTGTTACGTGGTGTCAGGTTATAAGAATCATTTGTTACTGCCATCGCCAGTGTATCTCAAGCAGCGTCTGACACCCATCTACCTACGACCCGTGGTAAGCGGCAACACATATGGTCATGATTCAAAATCGATTTAACACGTACGGTGTAGGAAAGAATGACCATTGCAAAGAAGATAAGGAAAGCTGAGGTAGGCAAAGCCAAGAACGGCAATTGACAGGCTTACGATGTTTAACCCCGTCCATGATCTGATATAAACGAACCGATCGCTGTTAGATGGAAGCACTGTATTTCCAAAGTAACTTTTAAGTGTGAGCATAGTAAAACCACAATTAGTTAATTCAAGTTTTAATTAAGGAGGTTATGAACCTTCGGATTCTACAGAAAGACATTTCAGTCAGCTGATTAACTACGAACTGAGACTCTGAACACACTGTACCGTAAGATTTGGTCAGTACAGGCGGAGTACTGCAAGTTTCTATTTGAGCAATACTCGAGATGGGACAGGCTACGTTCAAAATTCTGCACGTAGGTCGTATAAATGTGAATGTAGAAAGTACAAGTTTGTTCTCGCGCGTGTGTGAGTATGTATGTAAGATCAAGACGGAGCCCTTCAGTGGATATAACTGACGGCGAAACATTGAACATTGAACATTACTGAAACTTGAGGTCTCTAGAGGCTTCAAGCCAATGTCGATTTCTTTTAAAAAAACTTCTATTTCCTTAAACGCTACTTCCTGGGATAGACGTACGGGAAAGGAAAATCAAAACCCTGCTTCTCCTTACAAAACCAACTAGATGGGAACGAGAGACATACCTTGGTGCAGAAGGATGCTTTCTGATGACATCAGCGGTGGCGAATACGGTCTGGAAGTGAGATCCTGCAAATGCGGAAATACAGTGTTATTACTTTCCCCCAAACAATGCACAATAATGCTAAGGTATTTTAATAACACCGTACTTTCTCGATTTTAAGACGAATTTTTTCACATTTTTAAAATGTATTAAATTGGAGTCCGTCTTACATTTGACGACGTTTAAAAATCGACATAGCTCGTTTTCTTCCTGAAAATCTATTACCTATTCAAGGGTGCGTCTTAAAATCGAGGGAATACAACAACAACAATAATAATAATAATAGCTGACAGATGTAATTAAGAAGGAAGCGGAGATGACCTTGAAATGCCAGGATCTTCTCATTGAAATACAGCGAATGTGGAAAATGAAAGCAAAATTAATCCCAATAATTATAGGAGCAACTGGAATTGTCTCCAAGTCACTCAGAAAATATTTGGCCAACATTCCGGGCGAACACGACATCAGGTAACTTCAGAAAACTGCAATTTTAGGATCTTCATACATCATTCGAAAGACGCTGTCGTAAAATATATAGTCATCCCTCACAATAAAACCATATAATACATGTAACACATATAAAAAACAAAATGTATTTGCACTATGTACCTCAGGGGCAAGGTTTGTCTCGGATACATAGAAGTAAGTATCCCATAACGTGGTGAATAGATGAGACGATAATTCAATTCATTTATAATATTAATAATAATAATAAATGTCTCTGCTGTATCATATTAAAACACACTGCTTTCATAATCCTTCAATTTTAGTGTTCTGATAAATTACTAATAGCGTCACTATAAAACACCTTCAACATCAATTACGACGGTCATGAATCTGCGATTTCTTAAGAGCATGAAATTATGACATTGCTGCTGGAATTGCACATTTTGTTTTATTGACTGTACTAGCTACTGTGAGGCTGCAACCTCTCATACGTACACAGTTCAGCTACTGTGCCTTTGTGCTCTCTTTCCGCAAGTCATCGTCGTTAGTTTAAGTCACCTACTGAACAAGCAGCACACTCTGGGGTCTTCAGTACTCGGCGGCCTAGACGGACGTCCAAAGTCGAGGACCGTGGGTTCCACATCGTTGGCAGCACTGATACCGGCCCGCGATTTTCTCAGTCACATTGATGTCAGTAGCGATCTTAATCATCTAATTGCGGTTCATTTGATGACGTTGTCAGTGGCTCAGAATACATAACATTGGATGATCAATGATTAAGTAATTAGGAAGGACTTGCAAGGAAGCTACAAAGCCTGATGTAAGGTATTATTCCGGAATCTGTCCGGAGGATTTAAAAAAAGACGGAACCATTTGTTGATAACTTATCTCTAGATTGAGCTTTGAACCACGTATTTTTCGAACACGAAGCAGAAGTGATAATTAATTCTATCATGAAGAAGGAAAGATGTGTTTGGATACATAAGGCAAAATGTAATACTTTTACTATTAAATAAGTGTTACAGCAAAATCTTTGTCGAAATGAAACTGTGAGTGAAGACACACAGAAGAAACTGATAAATGATAAATGAAAGAATAAGCAACTTATTCCAAGTCTGAATGTTTCTCACGATGATGCGTTGTAATATGATAAATTATTCTTTTGAACTTAGTCCATCGATTAAATTATAAAATATGAAGCTACTAAGATTCGAAGATCGATTCTTCTTCCATCTTCAGGTCATCTGAGGCTTTCTAAAGCTGGAGGACCAACAGATAAGCTTTCTGTCCTCTTATCCCTGCTTTATCTGAAGACCTGAAGATGGAAGCAGTAACGTGCTTCCGAAACGATATCGTTTTACAGTTTAGATGACTGGCAAAATCCCAAAGAAACATTTTATATATTATAACGCTAATTAATAAATATCATAGTGCATAAGAACTAATTCTGAAAATCCGCACTTGTAAGGGACGCAGACAGACAGAAAACCGGCCGAATATTTTGTTACTTAATAGTTACAGGTTCTTGACTGATCCATCATTGCGTTCTTGAAACTCGAACAGCGTCGTTAAATAATGTAATCTGTCGTGTAAGACAGAAATTATACCTGGCCGAATGAAAGATTTCCAATATATTTTAGCGCTCTCCAAAAACCAAACATCACTGAAAATTCGCTGAGAGATTTAGATGATGCCAGCCTATTACGCGTTCAGTTCGTGCATTCAGCGCAAGGCAAATGAATGCTTAGAAAGATTAGAATTGACAGTGTGATTCTTCTCCTAAATAAACGTGGGCGGTTGTAAACTTTGCAATAAAACTCAAGTAAGAGGAAAACCATCAGTACAATTAGTGGCCAATATACAGAAGAAGTTCAGACAATGCACGCAACATAACGTAGGAAGAACTTTGGTCGTGGCTGGACATTAAACGTAAAGTGTATCGATAAATCATAATTAAGATGGCAGCTCTGACCAAGCCACCACAACTACCAACATTTGCCGACCACAAAATAAAAAGCAAGGGAAAAGAGCGAACGAATTGTTCATTTCGGCCACTTCCGATATGTATGACGGAGTTAGTCTTCGTTAGCTGCGGTACTCCGTGCCAACAGAGTGGAAGGCCTCATATATCTTTATCATAAATCTATATAACGCAGCGCTTATGGGGTTCCACATCGAATGCTCTTACAGGACATAAAAGTACAACATTGGACCGTGTTTCTACAATCCACTGATCACGTGAACATAAATATTATTTGATTTCCTTCGCAGGGAAGCGAAGATGATCAGGTTGGCTCAAACGGAGAATGAACCCGTACCTTTAGTTAAATGGTTAGTGTCTCTGTCGAGGCATACAGCTATCTTTGTAACAAATTAGGAAATATAGGCTAAGCCCAGTATAACAAGGTCGAGGCATACAGCTATCTCTACAAGTGTTTGCTGAATTAGATAGTCACATTTGTAACAAATTATGAAATATAGGCTAAGCCCAGTATAACAATCACGGCGTGCCCTAAAGTGTGAGGCCTCTTACCTTTGCGAACGGCGCAAATGAAGTTAGAACTGTGAGGGGGTAATGACCTTTTGGAGGGCGTGGTGTCTGGAGCCCAGCTGGTTGGGCGTGACGTCATAACAGAGGATCCTTCCATGTGGTAGGGCGTCTGGGGGCTGAGATTCCCCATGTAAACACGGTAAACAAAGCGGGATTTGACCGTGGTAACAAAGGCAGCCTCTGGATTTCACAACTAGTCACTTCTGCTCGCATGAGAATCATTAAACGTCTTCATCCAAACCACTCGTTATTCCTATACGATTTTAAACCAAAATTGGATTTATAATTTTAAGGATATCCATATGCGAAGATGATAATTGCTTTCTGGGATAATCTCGATCATCCATCATCCAGTTGTCACATTCTGACGGACTTGGAGAAGCTAATAGGCGTATTTTTGTCTAATGTGATTGCAAACGTGCCTAAGAATGTCATATATTAAGCGTACGCCATCGAAAGCGGTGCCACCTGGCAGCAACGAATTACAATTCCTTCCATGCAACTGAACAAACGATACATCTCTGTGTCTTAAGCAGTCGTAATGCTTCGTCTTAACCTCACAAATGAGGGGTACCATTTACCCGTTATCCTTGTCAAAATCAGACATCCTAAGGAATTAAATTCTGTAGCTTTGTCTTTTGACTGATACTCTGTCAGTATTTGGGATTATGTATCGAAATATTTCTGTTGTCATTCTTTAGTAAGCAGTTTAATAGTCAAAGTTTCTCTTATTTCAGAATCGATCCAAATATTCTGTTGCAAGAGACTGAGAAACGTGAGTCAAAAGCAAAGCGACTTAGTCATATTGAATGATACATGACAACCGCTTCTTTGTACGAATACAAATTTCCATATCTGAACATCTCTTGAGTTCGGAAAAGGTCGTATTGCCTCATTGCAGTCTCGAAACACATCCTCCGGAGACCAAAATGTTTAACGAGTGGATGCTGGAAACAAAGAACGAATTGTGAAATGCACAAATCTCGGCCTCTCTCGTACGTAACGTCGCCCTCATAACATCTGACATCCAAGAAAAGATTCTTTCTTCCTACTCAGTATTCTCCCTACCTCCCCCTCCTCCCGGCCTGCTGTCTTCTTTTTGTATGAAAAGAAAAGGTCACAGTATCACGCAGTGGGTCACCAAAAGGATTCACGGTAAATTAGTAATTAGGTATTATTGCCTGTATCGAAATCCGTTGCCTTCATGGACAAACCCAATTCCTTTCGATTCCATTGACCACATAACATTTCACGGTCCATTGGCAGGACGGTCGTACCCTGAATGAAGCCAAATTGGGAGTTAAACACAGCACTGTAAGATTGTAACACAAATATATTCGAAGCAACAAACTACAACATGAGCTAACGTAAAAAATTAAAATAAGTTTTACTTCAAAAATTATTTTTACAGTACCAAAGAAACGAGTTCAGAGGTTCTCAGGGATGCGGGTTCTTGAGCCGCGAAGTCTGGTAGGAGTTTGCCGACGTTTCAGTAATAGGTAAACATAGTTACAGACGGACAAATAAAATACCACCAGTAAATCTTTTTGCCTTTAAATAAATCTGAATATATTTTGACACGTGAATAAATTTTAATATAATACATTTATGTTTTCATGCTCTGTAAATTAAAATCTCAAAGAACGGGACTCGATTTATATGCAATTATTGGTTTTATACGCGGAAATGTAGCCATAAAATTCAGATGGGCTATATTGGGCAACAAACCTTGAAATTTTCTGTCCAACAAACCCCATCTTGTAGATATTTATTCCGGCTAATGTTACCGTACCAATTTGGAAATACAGATTGTTATTCCGCAAGTCATTGTCACTCATAGTCAGGGTACAACAGAGAACCACCTTGAGAAATCAGGAAATAAATGTGCCAAGAACAGGATTACATATATCAACATCTCCAATTATATCAAAGAATATATTCCGTAAATATCACATGACTGTTTTACCCTTATTTTCAACAAGATTTTATCCAGTCGATGTTTACTACGAAACTAACGCGTGTGACGTA